TGAATCGTCTTAATTTAATTTGGGTGATATTTCTAGATTTTTCATAAAAAAATTATAAGCTCAGTACACTTATGAACTTCTTTCTCCAAATTGAGACTTATATTTTGTTGAATCGGTCTACTGCATGTTATCTCTGCTTCAGACAATTGTGATAGTTTTATATCTTGTAGATTTAAATGTCCTCTTTTGAATATTTATAATTTAATTTGGGTGATATTTCTATATTTTTCATAAAATTTATTAGCCCAGGAGACTGTTCTCCAAACCGAGACTTGTCATTTGAATTTTATGAAGGCCCCCATCTTTACATGAAGTGGGTGACGCTCTTCATATTATGGACCGGGTTTGCAACATTCATGCGACTTCCAGTTGTGTATGCCTAGCCTTTATTAGCTGATATGGCAAAGCAAAGCGTAAAGGCAAGTTAGAAGTCGTCATATGATGTGATTCAAAGTAATTCAAAGTGTTTCACATCATCTATGACATATCAGCAACAATCTAAACATCACAAGCCACTGTTGATTCTAAATTAATCTGTGATGTCATTTATGTTACCCTGCCAACAACAAAACAAGCATTTAGTTTTGTTCATTTTCTTTCACAGTGGTCTTTATGAACAGCAGAGTGGTTTTCTCCACTGGGTCTACTTGTGCCTCTAAAGCTATAGCAATTTCAGCTTCTAGCATATATTGAAGAATCATCCATGTGATATAAAATACTTCCTTTAATAGCTAATACCTAATTAATGTCACTATTCACTTGTTATAATGTCACCACACTCTCATTGATGTCATGTAACTCTTTTTGATGTCGCTATACTCTCATATATCATGACATATAGACCATGAATAAACTTGCTGTAAATTAATAAATAGCAAGAATAAGAGCAACAGGGTGGGACAAAATTGTTGCCAACATGTAAACTGATTGTTATAACTAAAAAATGACATAGAATTAACCAAAAGAGCCCAAAATATTCTAAAATTGAAACAACTTTTTGGAAGATTATCTACTAAATCTCATTTTACCTTTAATTTCCACTTATTAAAAATTTTGTTTTCATTATAAATCTAACAGATAATTGAAAAATGCTTCCCTTAATGATTTTAATGCTTTTAAAGCTAGAAAACAATCACATCATTATAAAATGGATGTCAGATGACACAGCTGGTCAGAAAGTGTACTAAAACCTGTTTGATACATGTACCATGATTCAGAATTAGTTTCTTTACTTTGGTCAGAAAGTGTACTAAAACCTGTTTGATACATGTACTACAATTCAGAATTAGTTTCTTTACTTTGGTCAGAAAGTGTACTAGAATCTGTTTGATACATGTACCACAATTCAGAATTAGTTCCTTTACTTTGGTCAGAAAGTGTACTAGAACCTGTTTGATACATGTACCATGATTCAGAATTAGTTCCTTTACTTTGGTCAGAAAGTGCACTAAAACCTGTTTGATACATGTACCACAATTCAGAATTAGTTTGTTTACTTTGGTCAGAAAGTGTACTAAAACATGTTTGATACATGTACCACAATTCAGAATTAGTTCCTTTACTTTGGTCAGAAAGTATACTAAAACCTGTTTGATACATGTACCACAATTCAGAATTAGTTCCTTTACTTTGGTCAGAAAGTGTACTAAAGCCTGTTTGATACATGTAATATGATTTAGAATTAGTTTTTTTTACTTTGGTCAGAAAGTGTACTAAAACCTGTTTGATACATGTACCACAATTCAGAATTAGTTCCTTTACTTTGGTCAGAAAGTATACTAAAACCTGTTTGATACATGTACAATAATTCAGAAATAGTTCCTTTACTTTGGTCAGAAAATGTACTAAAACCTGTTTGATACATGTACCATAATTCAGAATTAGTTCCTTTACTTTGGTCAGAAAGTGTACTAAAACCTGTTTGATACATGTACCACAATTCAGAATTAGTTCCTTTACTTTGGTCAGAAAGTGTACTAAAACCTGTTTGATACAGAAACAGAAAATTCTATAATCACACTTTTACTACCCCATGGTAGAGGCGCTTGGTTCAGGATTTGTTTATTTATGTCATATCTTATATTGAAAATCTGAAAACTACCACAATTCAGAATCAGTTTCTTTACAGTGTATACCTAATCACAGAAAAAACTTTAATTCTAAATATTTACTTGAATGCTATAATATAGAGCTGCTATAAACAAAATAATAAAATGCATTTTGATAACTCTCTACTAAAGTTGCTTCCTAAAAATCTGGAGAAGTGTTTCATTTTGTGAGCATCTACTACTCACATTACATCATGATACTTGAATTAAAACTTATGTTATTTGAATTTAAATGATAATGAAAAGTTCAAGAAGTCTAACTCTGTACTTCTTTAGATATAAACAATATAAAAGACATGTTGAGGTTCTTAGGTCTATCTGACATTGTGATTTTTAGCAAGCTGTGAACAATTAAAAACTGAAATACATCAGGTCTCTGCATGCTACCCCTTCATACACTCTAATCTATGTTTAATAGAGAATAGGGGTGAAACACATTTAAGACTAAGATGCCATATGGACGAGGCCTGGACTTTAAGAGAGTGACGCAGTAACACTGCCAAATCAGCTCCAGCCACTACCAATTGAAAACACAGAATAGTTGCCATCGTGTGAACTTGCCTAAATACACAATAAAATCTAAGTGCACAATACAATACCATGTAGCAGGGTAGAACCATTAAATAACACTGAAAATACTTCCTGGTGAGAGCCCTGGGGACTGAAAATATATCCTGGTGAGAGCCCTGGGGACTAAATAACATTAAGTATAACAACCCTGCCTCCCTCCATTCCAGCCTTTCACTTCCTGCTCACCCAAGATGAAACCGACATTTTAAAACTGGTTGAGGCCATGATGCAGAATTCAACATTCTCCATACAGGCACCAAAACAAAGACTCATTCTCTGGAAGGGAACCTCCCTGTGCAATTGGAGAAAGATATATAATCCAAAGATAGCATTTTCTTATTTTTTATTACATGTATTTTATTTATTTGACTTTGCAATTTGTAAAAGATATTTCAATAACAATAACAATATCCGCGAGGAAGTTATTTGAATCTGAAAAAAGAACGCGAACTTGATAATGGTTCGTCTTAATAAACAGCGGATTATGAGGATTTATGTTAGCAATCTAGCTAATGGTTTACATACTGGTGATTCCAGAACAGGGCGACCTAAAAGTTGATGACAAACTGCTTTTTTCATTAGATATAGAGCAGGATGTTTTCTTAATCGTTAGAACAAGGTTTTTTAGAATTTCCCATTAGAATAAGTGATGGGTCTTTTAGAATATCCCGTGAGAATAAATTATGGGTCTTTTAGAATACCCCATTAAAATAATTGTTTTTTTAGAATATCCCGTGAGAATATACTTAGTGGTTATATCACTGATTTGCGAAATATTCCCGAGATTTTTGCCAATATAAGCCCATCCATTCTTTCGAGGAGGCTGCCATTTTGGAAATTGACGGTGATAACCGAGACAAAAATCTAAATAGGCTTTCTGTCACTGACTGTCTTCATAGTCAGAGAAAATATGTTTATATATACTTAGTATACGTTTATAAAGAAATAAATATTTGTTTGTGTGGGGAAAAGTTAAGAAATATTTCTGGATCGGAACGGAAGCTCCAATTGCGACAGCCAATCAGATTGCAAGTTCTTAATCAGGGAAATGCGAAGTGCTTATCGCAGGGGGTCAAAAGAAAGAAGATATTCTGGATTTTGAAGCCCTGTGATCGGAGGATGGAGAGAATACTGCAACTCGATGTTTTTAATACTCCAGACGTGTCTTGAAAAATTCATTCCTTTTTATATCTTTGTGATGTCATAGATCAAGTTAATTATTAATTAATCTACATAATCAAACAGAATATATGAGACAATATACATTCATTCAAGATACACTTACATTTTCATTATTAGTAAAGCCTAGGTCACATTTTGTCTACGGTGGCAATATGGTAGCAAATGCTTTACAAAATCTATATAGAAAATCTACTTTGTGCCACTTATCTATACATTTAATCATATTTCTCTCAATTTTGTGAAGCTACGGCCACCATACATTTACCACTGGTCAAATATGACTGAGGCATTACTGATCATAGTTCTTATCCAATTGGGATTGTGGAATTGATCCTTCGGGATATTGTAAATTGATTATAATAGAGGAAATACAGGTAAATAACATGAAATGTGGGTTAATGGAGTTTATATATTCAAGATCAGACAACGAGGTTGACTCTGAGGCTAATCGAGATAAGAAATGATAAAACTTATCTTGGTTCTACAGCCAGGGCACAGTATTGCTAATATTAGTTTAATTGCCAATAACCATAAATCTGTTTTTCTGGATTATAGCTGCTAGGAAGGCAACGCTTATATGATGCTCAGACCAGTCCCGATATAATAACAGAGTAGTTACCAGGGTTTTAAAGGTTGATGTTAATTACCATTTTGATAGGATTACTTAAATATCAGTGTATGTTTTTGGAAAAATCTCAAAATTTTCATGAAGATCTATACATCAAGTGATACTTTTAAGATAGAGAGGGAGGCAAGTTTAGCTGTTAGATTGAGGCAAAATGGATAAAAGCAGCAATAGATTGAGGCACTGTATTTTTGAAGCGCCAGTATACTGTAAATCATTAACTTAGTTTATTATGATTTTTTGAATTATGGTGGTCTTCAATGGGGATTCACTTCTTAGCCCCATTTCTGATTTAAGATTATAATCAAGCGATATAAAGAACAAATGTAAATTAAATATTATATTATATCATAGAACATGTTTCAAACTTAAATTGTAAAAATAAGTGAAATGTTCAAGGAATTGAGTAGAGACAGGTAACCACTTCTATAGAAATGGCACTTTGTATACATCTTAGAGAGAAATAGAGTGAAATATGTAAAAAGAGAGAGAAATAGGTATTAAATCTAACTTACCTCAGCTATACAAACTATTATGACACAATCACTTTTTTCTACTTCATCTAAGGATTCTATAAGAGATTGCAATGTCTCCATTATATACACGACCCCATCTCTTTTTATATGTGGAATTCCAATAGCTATAGACACTGAAAATATAGAGAAGAAAATGTTAAGCAGTTGATCATCACTATATACACAACCCAATCTCTTTTTTTATGTAGAATTCCAATAGCTATAGACACTGAAAATATAGATGAAAATGTTAAGCAGTTGATCATCATTATATACACGACCCCATCTCTTTTTATATGTGGAATTCCAATAGCTATAGACACTGAAAATAGAGATGAAAATGTTAAACAGTTGATCATCACTATATACACGACCCAATCTCTTTTTATATGTGGAATTCCAATAGCTATAGACACTGAAAATATAGAGATGAAAATGTTAAGCAGTTGATCATCACTATATACACGACCCAATCTCTTTTTATATGTGGAATTCCAATAGCTATAGACACTGAAAATATAGAGATGAAAATGTTAAGCAGTTGATCATCAATATAAGACATTAACATGTGCATAGCCAGGGGGTGCGATGTGTGCGCACCTTCCCCAAATAAAAAAGGCAATTTTGTATGTAAAATTTGTTGAAAAAACAAATTAAAGTTTGAAGTGCCTAGAATGCACCATATACAATGTAATTTTTTTAAACTTCCAGAACCCTGTACCCCTTTTTGGGGCTTGCTTCGCTTGAAGTGATGCCGACCCAAAAATTTGCACCCCCTTGACATTTGCTGGCTATGTCCTTGCTTAGCATGCAAAATGTCACAACATGCCATTTGTTACAGACACAAAACTTGGAGTACTGACTGCCAGACACTGAACACTGTAACAGAAAACTTGGAGACTATAACAATATGTCACCACATTTGGTGGTGACATAAAAACACATTTCATTTTATATGTGGAATCCCTATAGCTATGGACTAGGGATGTCAAGGTTTCCCGATATTGACCCGTCCTTTGGGACTTTGGTCTTGGGACGAGACGGGACAACACTTGTATACCAAAGATTTCATTGTTCAGGATATAATATCTCTCCTGTATATGACCCTAAAACTTCCTAAATGCACGATAAATATGATCTTAACTAGAATTTTCTTTCATTTTTATAACTTATCTGCCGGATTACGTTCATGAGTAAATGCCATCTAGTGGCAATTACTATAATTGATTATAACAAACAAAAATTCAGGACAGAACATGCAGTTTTATCGATAACATTCTTTTCCTTTGAAATATGTTTTAATTTAAACAATAACAAAGAACTTCATTGGCGAGAAAGGTAACAACTTAAAATTAATCTCAGATTACAAGTTTTTGCGCAACATGGGCAGCCCTCTTATGATGTTCAAAAGATCCGCGCTGCATAACCATAACCGGAAGTAGATGGAAAATGTAAGTTGTTGAACTGTTCTAAACTTATTAACTACATGTATTTTATTGGTTATGTCCCATCCCTTCCCGAATGTCCTGACTTGAAATATTTTTGTCCCGTGACATCCCTACTTTAGACACTGAAAATTTAGTGACAGAAATGTTCAAATGAAAGTTGATCATCTAACACTAACATGCAAAATGTCACCACCTGCCATCTGGACAGATTCCAAACACCAGAAGCCAGACTACCAAACACCAAAGACTATCCACAAAAAGTTAGAGACTATGACAATTTGTCACCATCTTTGGGGGTGACATAAACATACATCACTTTTTATATTCATGAAAAAATTCATGCAAAAATACAAATCAAGCATAACCTCACATTGTAGAACCAATCAACTTAACAAAAAAAAATCATTGAAAAATTATAATTGATAGCTTTGCTATTCATATTCCCTAATAAGGGCTAAAGTTGCCAGGGCAGTATGGATTACCATGGCAACTGCTTCATTTGATTTTGTGATTGATGTCCATTGTAAGAAAAGAGATGTGATGAGTATCAGAAAGACCCAGGGCATTTACAAGGGTTGCATGTTTTGGTTGAAAGACAGCATGTCCATTTCTATACATGTAGTTATAAAACAAAGAAAAATGCTGAGTATGATTAAAACCGTAGCCAGGTCTTGCCAAGGGGGATTCAGTTTTTTAAGAAAATCTGTGAAACATTCAAATTTTGGGCCAATATCATTTCAATAACCTCAAATGGTGAAGAACTGGATAATTATTTTCAAAGAATCTTTGGCTAGCAAAGTTGCTCAACCCCCCCCCCCCCCCCAATCACCTGGCTACAGCCCCAATAAGAATGGTATGCTACACTTGAGCAAAAGTACATTTGTTTGGTATTTTACTGTAACCTTTTTATGTTGCATCTTCAGCATAGTACAGAAATCAAGTTGCCAGTGAGGTACTTATTTAATAGTTAATCAAACTGCGGTTAATGAGCCTTAGTGACGCAAATCACAGTTATCATGAAAAATAACTAATAAAACTGCAAGTTTAAATAATGTGTAATGGTATGATAATTAGAGGTTATGTCACTATCGTGGCATATATGCCCGAGGTCTCAGTGATATATGGCCCGACCTTGGGAGGGACATTGATCTCTGAGAACTGAGGGCATATGTGCCACGATAGTGACATAAACGATTTATAACATACCTATGATGATGTAGACTGGTCAGAGAGTACCGTTTTCTTATAGAATTGACAAACAAATGGTTTGAAAATGATTGAAATGAGTTTAGAAAAATTGCTCGCGCAGTTTTATCTTCGATTGATTGGTTATGACGTCAGCGCCTTGACCAATCAGAAAGTTAGCGGGCGCGGGCTTTTCAAAACTTATATTGGCCCGCTGTCTTGTGTACACTTTGCACTATACATCATCATAGGTATGTTATAATGGGAAATATAGTCGAAGGCGACCATAGATTTTCGGGTATCAAATTGTTTATTTACCAGACTCAGAGTTCTAATTTGAACTAAAGGTTAATTTTTCATCCAATCTAAGCCTCAAATATTCAGTCCCTGAAATATTTTGATGAAACAAGTAACGTAAATTCTGATGTGCCAGAGACCTTCTTTATCTTGCCAGAACTTACTTTTTTAAGAGATACTATAAATTGCTGATTCAACTACAGCTAAAGAAAGTCAGGTAGGAGGTTGATGCACGGGGGACGCGGGGGTAAAGCAGACCCGATGATGCAATGAGCTTGCTCGGCGGTATCATGACTGTGTAACGGGGCTTAATGTATAAGTGAGCTCGGCGGTAAGTTCAAACAATGCGGATCCTCAAAGCATGTGCTCATGGTATCATCGTGGCTTAACACCCGTGTTGATGTGTCTGCAATTGTAAAATTGATCGCTACTTATGGCATACAGTTAGAGTTATGCTAGACATTTTTTCATATTATTGTTTAATATTTTGAAAAACATGTTTACAGTGTATATGGTAATAGATATGGCTGGAAATAAATAAAATATTAACATTAGATTACTCTTAATTATAAATCAATTATCCAAAAGAAAGATCTGCTAGCCATTGGAGTATTGTAATAACCAATCGAATCTGATCATTTCCTATATCTGTTACATGGGGGAATAGGGGACAATAGGGGATTTCATGTTATAGCAGCTATAATACCCACGGCTCGTAAATGACATTCCCAGGTGAAAATTATTGCTCATTATCCGTAACTTTATATTATTACATGTGGTTCGACTCAACTTGCAATACTCATAAGGGATCAACTCAATAAATCAACTTCCATAAAAAAAAAATTTCATTTTTCTCAAATAATGTTTCTATCACTGTTGAATTTTTTATTAATATAGCAATATAAGCGATCTATGCCACCTCCACCATCCTAACACCCTCTTCGCAAACTCCAAAGTACATATATCATATATTTTGATGGAAATCAATGTTTTGACTTGATCCCCTAACATTTCCTCTTGCAATTTACTGTGACACAAATAATTAATTTTGAGATGCCTGTTGCAAAAAAAGGTATTTAACGTATACATAAAAATATTAGTCGAGACTTAGAGAATTAGTATGCATTGTCACTCAAAATTGAAACTTCTGATTGGGTTTGGAGCCGAATTATTCCGAGATGCCCAGATATGACCGAGCAAAAGCCATAATTCACGTGATTTTTCTCCTAGAATCTCGATGAATCTTGCTTAAACTCCGCCTTTTTGGCCATTTAATTAGCAAAATAAAAAATAAGTAAATATCAACATTGACTACCTGTATCATTGTTTTGTCTTTGAGACTCCGGGTCCGGTATATTTCTATCAGGAGCAATTATATAGGAAACAGTACTGCACATGGAAATAAATACAGGTGTACCTATATTGCTTTGTTCCTGACTTTTTTTAAGATTATCATAGTCTTGAGCCTGTGTGCTCTGGGCAATGTACTGTATGTTATAAAATGTTACAAAAAGCTAATTTTATGATCTTTTATAGAACAATTCAAACATTGATAAATATCAGTCTGAAAAGCAAAATGACCACCATGTAATTAACGCAGTACATAATTGTTGGCACTAGTCTGTTCTTGAATCTGTGAAAATTCAAGTTAAATTGATTTGCGGTTTTCTGGCCTGGTGAGAAGCGTAGTAAATCCCATCAAATAGCCATATGGCTGGTATTTTTGGTATTTTTACAAACAAAGTATATAGCACAAACGGCAGCCATTTTTCAAAATGTCCACTTTCTACCAAAAGTGCCATTAGACAGTGTATGGCATTATTTTTGCTTCTTTATTCATTAAATTCAAATATATTCGATATATGAAACATTTATATTCGCTAAATCATTTTTCCATTCGGTAAAAACGTTTATATGTTTGTTACAGCAAATTAAGTTTTCAAAATAACCAATCACTTAATACTATGTGCATTAAATTATATATTTCATTCGTTAAATGATATTTTTTGCGTAAATTGTTATGGTATTCCTTAAGAGTAACATATTATATGCACAATATTGAATTTCTATTTGAACCCTACCGAAATAAGTTTGCCTATATTTACCAAATGGTTTATTTTTCTATGACATAGTTAATGCATTTTACCGAAAGCTAATTTGCTATTTACTATTTACCGAATGCAATAAAGTAATATTCGATAACTTGCGTTGTTGTTCGATATTTTGTCACGTGACTTCGAGATTTGCAAAATGGCCGTGCAGCTATTCTACATCGTACAAATATATCACGTGACTGAAAGTCTTGTAAATTATCGAAAAATAACGAAATTTATCGAATGTGGCATTCGGTATTTACCGAATATAAATAATTTAAATACCGAATGGACAAATAATTAATTGAATATTATACGTGCGTTAAGGAAAACAAATTGATTCGCTGCATCACACAAATACATGTATAAATATCAAATGTGAGAGTCAATACAAAGAACAAGTGAAACTATTTAGCGAATATAAATTGTATAGATTATTACATTTGATAAAATAAAAAAACATTCGATAGATTGGGTAAAGGTTTGGTAAATTGTTTGTTTTATTTGGTATTTATGGAATATTAATGTACCGAATAAAGAAGCAGTTTAAACACCATAACAGTGTGCCATGCTTATAGTATTCACATACCAAATATGAGCAAAATCACTCCACTACTTTTACGTGGTACAATATGAAGAAATGTGAGGGGCAGCCTTTTGTGCGGGGTAATGCATAATGTATTAATGTATGCATAAAATAATAAAGAGAACAATAAAGTCAACTTTGCTAAACAATAGTATACACAGTAACATTCTATTGTTTCTACAACCATTAAACATTGATTTATGAGAGGATAATTCAATTTATGTGTACTATGTAGATTTGAGGAAACATCTTGTTTTTATGTCATTCACTTGTGTTATTTATGAAATATAGACCAAAGAGCAGGGATTATATTGATGAATAAATACTTGATTTTATGTCTTTCATTGGTGTTACTTAAGATATATAGACTGAAGAGCAGGTTTTATAGTAATGAATAAATACTGCAAGGCTAGGCACAAACGTTTTCTGTACCCCAAATGACCGAAGGTCAGTGAGGGGTTTGAAAGCTTTTGTGCCTAGCCCTAAGGTATTTATTACTCAATATAATATCTGATCTGAGGTCTATATTACAATTCGAACATGAAAACTAACCAAAATTTTTCAAATTCGTCACTTCACTTCCTACTTCCGGTGCACCGAGCAAAACACAGTACAGACCAGGTTTTGTATTGAAGAATAAATACCGGGTGAAATGTTGACTCTGTTCAAAGCTCATATAAGGCATGAATACAGACGTGTTTGAATTATAATTAATTTTCTGAAAAGCAGCTACAAAGTTATTTAATACCGCTTTCAATCCAATGACTGTCAAGCCTCTCTGAATAATTTACAGGATGTTCAATATTTTGTAATATAATGCTCCTAATGTCTATTGATACAATTACTGTAATTACACACCCGTTACATCTAATGCACTTAACTCCTAAAGCCAGTATCAACAAGGCATTAATATGCAAAATATCACCACCTGCCATTTGGTACAGAAGCCATAATTTGTTACAGATGCTGTGTTACACCAAATGCCGACACCGTCCACAAAAAATTGGAGAGTATAACATTTCTGGTGGTGATATGAAAATCATAAGTTTCCTGAGAAATGACGGCAATTTTAAATCCAGCATTTCTACTTGACCAGAATCATATTATACCAATAAGGAATTTTGGCACATGAAATAAAAAAATCTAACAATTTCCTATCCTAATGTCTAATTTCATTGCCTTGCCTAGGCTTAAATTTTAAATTACCAAATTACAAAGCTATTTGAGAACTAATGAACTCAGTTAAGTTGAAGTCCCAATGAAGGGCATTTAAGGGAAACCATCATATAATTACAATGTGAAGCATAGAGTGTATATTGTAGTAAATGTAAGACAAAATGAGAATATTTGGCCAAACAATTAATTAACTAGTAGAGCATAAATGATAGTAGAGCCTACCAGAGTTCTAAATTAAATCAATTAATAAGACTAGATAATATGTTGTTAAAGCTCCGTCTTAAATAAATATGCATTAACACTACATGTATCTTAAAGTTCTTAAGATTAAATACAACAAAACAACATTTGAAATGCATGTAAAATTGTACCTACCTCCAACACGCCCTTTAGAGAGTCTATGATGGGGAGAAAGACCCTCAGATTTTCCTATAAGATGAGGCAGGTAATGGAATATAGATGGCGGCTGTATATCTGAGCTACTGCTGGAGAGGTTCATCAATAGCTGCCGCACTTCTGGTCCCAGTTGTGATAAACCCCTGGGTATTACACTGGAAATATATATGGTAAAATATAAGTTATGATACACCCCTGGGTATTACACTGGAAATATACATAGTAAAATATAAGTTGCGATATACTCCTGGGTATGATATAGAAATATATATGGTATAATATAAGTTGTGATATGCTCCTGGTATAACACTGGAAATATATATATAGTAAAATATAAGTTGTGAAATACCCCTGGGTATGATATATAAGGGTTATGTACTGGGAGGTTTTGGATACAGGGTTTATCCCAAGGGAAATATGTGTATCTCACGAGGGACCGCAGGGACCGAGGGAGATACACATATTTCCCGCGGGATAAACACTGTATCCAAAACCGACCGTACATAACTGGTGTATCTCATACTTGAGTGGGTTTGGGGTAGATATAACCTTTACCACCTTTTTCAAATGACAAGATAGGCCTATACTATAAAAGCACAATTTATATTTAACATTTTCATAATATTCCTTCAGCTCAATACAATAGAATTGTAACATTTAAACTTTTTGAAAAATTTTAAACTTCTGAAATTTAAATTTTTAAACTTTTTTAAACTTTTGAAAAAATTCCCGGGAGCGGGATGGATATATTATATCTGCCCGCATTTGGCCTAGAGCGGGACATATACAATATATCCTGCCCGCTCCTCAGATATGATATATATTCCCGGGTGATATCTACCCCAAACCCACTCAAGTATGAAATACAGAAATATATATGGTATAATATAAGTTGTGATATGCTCCTGGGTATTACACTGGAAATATATATGGTATAATATAAGTTGTGCTACACCCCTGGGTATTACACTGGAAATATATATGGTAAAATATAAGTTGTGATACACCCCTGGGTATTATACTGATATACCCCTGGGTATTACACTGGAAATATATGGTATTTTATAAGTTGTGATATACCCCTTGGTATTACACTAGAAATGCATATGGTAAAATATAAGTTGTGATATGCCCCTGGGTATGATAATGGAAATATATGGTATAATATAAGTTGTGATGCATCCCTGAGTATGACACTGGAAATGTGATAAATTATGAATTTTGAAACAGCACTAGTTGGAAATATATAGAATAATTTAAGTTTTGAAACACCACTTGGTTTGACACTGGAAATATATATGTTCTTCTTGTGTCCCTGAGAAATCATTCTGTGATTTTATCTCCATTTAATTGCCAAAATCAAGTCCATGAGACGACTACATCTTACAGTCTAACACTTATAATACAACATTTGAAATAACCATTGTTTATTTGGGGTTGATTCATCGGTCTGAATCCCAATCATCCAATCCCATCGATCTGAAACCCAATGGTCCGAATCCCACTCATCTGAATCCTATTGGTTTTAAAATATATGTACAATTATCAAAAAAAGAATGTGCCTCAAATATTCCCAAATCAGATTTTAAGTCAAGATCTCTGTAACTTGCAATATTGATTGACATTGTCTAATTTGCAATTTTTTTTCAGTCCAACAATTTGCAAAGTAACGCTCAATAAATTTCGTGACTTGTTGTTTTAATATCAATATTAAGATGCAAGGTCGGAATGCTTTAATGTTGAAAAGTGATTATCGGATAAAATCAATTCTACTTTTATAGCCATGTTTATTGGAAATAACATTTTTTCAGATGATTAGGTTTTGGACAAGTGGGATTCGGACCATTGGTTTTTGGATGAATGGGTTTCGGACCATTTGGGTTTGAACCATTGGGTTTCAAACGAGTGGATTTCTAACCAATAGGTTTCAGACAACTGGGATTCGGACAATTAGGTTTAGGACCAATGGTGTGTCCATTTATTTAGCTTCAACCAACCAAGCAAAGTCTGTCTATGTTGCACTGTGTTTACAAAAATCATATTACAGTGTATGAACATACTAATAAGTATTATATACAGGGTGTCCTGAAAGTATGCCACCCCCCCTAGGTAGACATATTCCAGTGTCCTCATATCAGTGTCATATATAATTTTATCATATCATAATATGTGCCTATTTATCATGAGTAAACAGTGTTGCGTTGACACAGTTTTTTGCCATTTTTAAATTTCAGAAGACGTAAAAATCAGAATCAACTTACATCCCATGACGCAAAAATTATAAACTGCTTCAAGGTAACTTTTACTGCAGCACAGTAGCAGTGAAACATGATTTTCATCAAGATTTTAAAACTCACTACCTTGATATGGGAGCAATGATCCAGGTATATTTATATCGGCAAATCTGATTGGCTATCATGGCTACCGAAGATTCACAGGGTTTCCAGTCTGAAACATGGATTTTGATTGGTTCCGATGTATTCCAGAAAATGCTGAGATCGAAATGGAAGATCAAAATATACAATATTGTAGAATTCCCCGGTGGTGCCCAACGAATTGAAAGACTTGTTTTTCACAATAATCTTTATTATTTCTACAAGAGAACATTATATATCGATCTTATGTAAAACATCAAGATAATTGTTTAATGATCTATCAACGTTCTTTATCTAAAAGTCGTCAGAGTAAGGAGAAATGTTAATAAAAAGAAGCAAAAGTTCACGACCTTGACGATCACAAGTTGGTAAAATGTGAAAACAAAACTCTTTAATTTGAGCATTTCCTTCATTCATTTCGGACTACTGTCTTTGGCATAACATTTGTTCAGAATTGTGTGAAAAGGACCCAATGATAGATATTTATCAGGAGGATGTGTCCAATTGCAATATATGTCATTTTCATCCCGTTTTAGTTTAAGCACTCTATTATCACCCACTTTCACAATATTTCTTGAACTTTGTGAAGAAATATGAGGGACGCAGAAAAATTAGACGGGACTCAAATTTTTCAAATGGGTTGCATCCCTGGGACTCAGAAATCTAAATGGCTAGCGCGAACACTGGTAAATATTCTCTGTCAAGCTTAGTTAAATAAATAACACATAAAGCACATCGTACCACCACATCTAAATGATAAATAAGGTCTTTCTGCCTTCTTTTACCTTAGGTATGAGCCATGAAACTAGAATATATTATCAACATTCTTGTATCATCATTGTCAGAAGTATAGCACAACATAAAATTTATTCAAGATTAATTTCTTAGAAAATATTGAAAATATACATTGTATAGTACTTCCTGGTTATTAAGGACTTAACAAATTCTGAACATGTATTATGTTAAGTAAAGATACTGTACATTTATATGATCAAAAATATATTTTCAGCATCAAAACTGTATAATAATTATAATTATCTGTTCTCCTCAGAGGTTCGAATTTTACTGCTAGACTTGGTTTCAGGGTAGTTGTGTTCACATTTGAAATGTGATTTTTTTCTCAAGTAGGTGTAAAATTTTTACATTCACAATTTGGACCAAATTTGGTCAAAATGCCAATTGTTCATGATTTTAGACATTTCAAGTAGATGCTTTAATAGATTTTCAGGTGGACGCAAGCCTGTTATTGAAATCACAAGTTAGTGCAGCTTCTACTTGCTTTAATGCTAGGGAGATTATTGTGTTCACAGATTTTACAGTATTTTCTGATATTTTTCATTGTCAGTAAGAAAGATATCGGTTCACTTTCTAAGAGGGGGGGGTCACTTTTGACAATTTTGGTCAAAAAAGGCCAAAATCACTTAAAAAGTGCTCAGAATGGTAAAAAACTGCATGATTTTGAAAGAATTTTTGGCCAAGGGGGCTTCGCTCGAACCCATCGAACCAGCCCTGGCTACGGGCCTGTTAGATGTTAAAAACAAGGAATACTGTCTATCTAGCATACACGATTATTCTGAGCAAGATAAAGTGATAGAATAAAATGAACTCCCCAATCTCATTTATAACTGACATATTGGCGATCATGCAAAGAAACAATTCATATAAAAACAACAGAGCTCATTCCTTCTAGACATGCTGCTCTGCTTGGGTTTACTATTTTATATATTTTTCTCCCTTGGTGGCAAGGATTAGATCAGCTAAGTGGCTAGAACCAGAATTGTACTCAGGCTGGTAGGCAGCTTTTGCAAAAGGGGGTTCAGTTTCTTAAAAACTCCAGAAGGGCCCAATTTTACTTGCCCAACTTACAAACATTTTCCTGACCATTTCATCTTATACCTCCTTTGCTTTATTGGTGGTGGATCTACCTCCAAGGAAAAATTAGAAACTGCTGTTATAAAACATGTTTTCTGTGTTATCCAGAGGTTATCCTTACATATGACAATTGCATGTTATCTTTGAAAATAAAGCTAAATGATTTATACTGACTGTAACCAAAACCTGCGTAATCTTAGTTTTATACTTTGTCTAAATCCATACTTCAAGATTTTTGACGATTGATTTTGTTCAAATAGTGATTATCTATGTGTTAGAGAACAAAACCACATGTTACTTTTTCAATACACTTATAATTGGTTCAAATAACGATTTTCTGAAAATTTTCTAACAAAATGCAATACTCTTAAGTATAATAAACATATATATAGTAAACATGAACACTCATCCCTCATGAATCGTTTAGATGTGCATTGGGAGATTTTTGATGGGGTGTAACCGCTCCCACGTACCTCCCCATCTAACAGGGATGCTCAGTGACATTCGGATTTTTATTCAATCATGATATTTACACCTCTGTACCCAATAACTTGTAAGAAGTAACTAGTTTTTAAAAGTGAAGTCAATTCATGGTGTTTCCTCAAATGTTAAGAAGGAAAACTTCTTGAATGACAAAATAGGTAAAATAAAATGTATTCTGTGTTTGGAATGAACTTTTTATATTTTGAAACATGACTGGTGTTGGGCTTTATGAAAATTCTTGGTCATATTTCAAGTGTCGCTAAAAAGTAAATATAGTACATGTACTCTAAGGTTTCCTTGGTCACCCTTATTAACTGTACAGTTAAATATCCCCAGCTAGACACTCATCAATCATTAAGATTTATTTAGATTTATTTTAGAGGTTTTTCAGTGATCAAATCTTTACAATTCCTGTACATTTTCTTAAGCACATGTAATTATGTGAGTGTTAACCCACATTTAGACAACTTTTGAACTTATGAGATGAAAAGAGAATTAAATACATAATTTCAAGTAGCCACTAAAATAAACTTAAAATCCACCCTGACCTGCTTAAGATATAGCCAATAAATCACAAATAAAAGTATTGAATCAAGTCTCTGGTCCCTTTCCCTCTAAAGTATTTTTCATATCATGAAATAACCTCACTCAGTCGTATACCATAGTAAAACCTGTATAAGCCGAACATCTATGTTGTATATAGGTGGTGGGGTGTTCATATAAAGGGGGGGGGGGTAATGTTCAAATTAAAGAGGCTCGTTTTACATGAATTTAATGGGTAACTGCTTAACTTGTGAAAGTGTTCCACTTTTTAATAGAAAAGTGTTCCACTTTATAGGTTTATACTACATGTATATAACAAATACACAAGACAGTGCAGTTGAAAGATTTTAAGAATCATAAAACAACCAAGACGGAAATGATAATAAAATTACTATTGAATAATAAATTCTTTTATTTACCTGCCATTCACGGAAGTATTTGAAGGAGCTCCCCCCTCGGCCCCCATTATTACATGCAGCTGTGCCCTCAAGGTGTGTATATCAGACTCTCTCTCTTTATTGAGGGTCTCGGCAAAGTGAAGCCTGTCCCTCAACTCAGAGAGCCGCAGCTCCAATAGCTCCTCCTGGTTCAAGTCTGAAACACATATGTTGTCAAGGTTACTGACACTGTTTATGTTTTGTGGTTTAGAAAAATTGCCCTGTTTCACTATCAGCTAGCCACTCTAGTTACTCTCTGACTAATACAAGAGATTTATAGTTTTATGATGAGAAATGCAGTGTTCTCCACAGGATTTTTTCTCAAGTTGGTGCAAAATTCTAATTTTCACAACTCAGACCAAAATTGGTCAAAATATGTCCATTTTTCATGATTTTCCTTATTTTCAAGTGGGTGCAAATGGATTTTCAGGGGGGTGAAAGCCTGATTTCAAAATCTCAGGTGGGTGCAATGCCCACTTGCTTTAATGATGGGGAGATCACTGAAATGTATCTTCCTTGAAGTTCTATAGGAATTAAAATATGAATGTACCATTGTTCTTTCGAGAATTTATTTTGCTATTTTTCTCTGAATATTTTACACCTGAAGTACATTCTACGCCGGATTACGCTTGGTAAATAACAAAATGGAAAAAACAGACACGATCTTGTTAAGTTATTTAAGCTGCTTTTGAACATGATTTTGATGTTTTTGGAGGTTAAAAACGATTAACCGATATTCGATGTGAGTATCGATACGCTCGTATCATGCCTAATTGCACGAGCGCTCGAGCAAATCTGAACAATCGCGAGACCCCTAATGCAAATTACAATGAACATGCTAACCATGTATCTAATCAAGACGTTGTTATACTCACTGGTATATTATCACATTAATTAAGCAATGATCACTTTGTTTCATGACAATAATAAAAAAGCATATGTCATCACGCGATAATTTGTAAAGGAGATATCTAATGCAATAACAATACATATGTTCAATAACAGTACATGTTCTATATAAGGCTGCCACATTGATTATGGGTATATTAGACATATAATACAGTACGTGAATGACTAATATGGGTGTAATGCTGGGACTGGCCAAAAGTATTTAGATTGGCAGGTGTTTTGTGAGGCATTACAAGTTCTCAAAAGTTTATTTAACAAGAAAATATATGCCAAAATAGGTAATAAAAAGTGTTAAAATTGAGAGGGTTTCATATTAGAGTGAGGTTGGCAATACAGGTTTTACTGTACTTTGATTATGCTCTTAAAAGAGAGCTTCTCTTATATGTCCTTTGATTTAGCCTTACTGAATAGGATCACAATAAGTTGATTAAAATCCAGGTACGCATTAACTCACCTATACTCAACTGGAAAAGGTTGATCAAAATTCAGACACCCATAAATAAACTAGCAACATACAAGTGAAGACTAATGGTTTCATTATAATCACATACCAGAATTAAGTGTTAAGTTTATGTGTTTACATCATTCTGCCAAGTGCTTTTATCTCTATTGGTCCACTTTTCACTTCTCTCTAACACTTTGCAATATCTAACTGTACTACCCATTTATAGAAGAATTAACAGTAACATTTTACACTCTTTAGACATCTTCGTTCACTCGGCTCCCATCGGTCGATGAACGCAGTGAAGACTGGAGCGTGTGTGGATGCTCATTAGCCCTGTAGCCAGCTTTTGCCAGGAGGGGTTCAGTTTTTGAAAATTTTTGATGAGAGTTAACCTTCGATAACTTCAGGCCAAAATCACTTGAAAAGTGCTCAAAATTGTGAAAACTGCATGATTTGAAAGAATACTTGGCAAAGCTATGGATGCTGCTATGGATAGGGGCCTTTTACTTATAGACCACTGAATTGATGATTTGCGATCACCAAATGGATTCTGTCTTTTAGTGACGTCACAATTAGGTCACCCAGCTTTAGATGCTTGATTTTGAGAGATTATCTTCTATATTTCGTGCTTTATTGATTTATTTTTCACGAAAGTGTTCTATTTGACTAGATCAACATTCATGCTAAGCACATACCAAGTCTAAGGTCTTAGTGACATGATTTAGATAGCGGTTTAGCGCCCCCCGATTTTGACAAAAACGGGGGGCGCTTATAGGCATCGATGTTTAGGATGTAAGCTCCTAGTGGATGAACAGAATGGGTTCCGACCTGAGCGTGGATGTCTTGACCAAGTGCACTCTCTGTATTCAATAATTAACAATAGAAAGCTAGGAAAACAAAGTACATTTACATGCTATATCGACATGACCAAAGCGTTCTGTAGCGTAAACAGGGACTGTCTGTGGTACAAACTTAACAAAATTGGCATAAAAGGCAAGATATTTTCTGCTATTAGTTCCCTTTATCAAGATGTATCTTCTTCAGTTAGAGTTAACAGCCATTTAACACCAATGTTCAGCATAGAGAAAGGATGTAAGGAGGGTTGCGTTTTGTCTCCGACCCTGTTCGCCATCTATATCAATGACTTGGCAACTGATGTGAAAAATCTAAACTGTGGTATCAAAATTGATGGCATGGATGTATCTGTCCTCTTGTATGCAGATGGCATTGTCTTGATTGCAGATTCCCCAACTAATCTACAACGTATGCTCAATGTGGTTAATGAATGGTGCTACAAATGGCGCATTAGTATGAACCAGAGTAAAACTAAAGTGGTACATTATCGCCCACAGGCTTGTCCAAGTAGTCCTGCGGAATAATGGCATATTGAAACTTTTGGTTGCCTTCTAGGATGTATGCTATATCTTTGTATTTTCTTTATCTGTAAGTTAATTACTTTCAAAATCAGAACTGTGCCGGACTGGCACTGGTGGGCAAAATTTTTTACAGCATTGTATAGGTGGCGCCCCCTTGTAAAATGCCCATTTCCCAAAATATTTTTTTTAAAGGGCTGTTGGTAGAGTTGAAAACTTTAACATATTCAGATAAACTATATTTAGTCTAAACAACATGTCAACTATGTTTCATTACATAAAATCACAAATTTAATGAGATATGCTTGATTTCTTACCCTAGTGCCACCTATTTTTAAGGGGTCACTATGTTTAATAAGCATATTTTGCAAACTAAACAAAATTGTGATCTGAAATTATTCATGACTTTAAATTGACCCATGTCAAACATAGTGTGAAAATATGAGACTTGAATTTTATTTAGTTGAAGAGAAAAAAAATATATTAATATAGACTTCCTTGTATTCAGCAATATTAATATGTATGAAAAATATCACTGTAATCACTGTCAAACATTGAAAAATATAATATCAGCAGATTCTGTGAGTCTATCTATCAAAATAAGCTATTTATGTAAGATACATAGGTTCTTTGAATTAAAATATTTTTTATATTTTATAATGTATACCCTTTTATAGGGGGAGCGGGGGGGGGGGGGGTTGATGACAAGTTTAAAATGTGAAAGAAACTGATTGTTGACAGTGTAAGTAGGTCATCCCTGTTGTATAAGGGTTAAATTTTAGCCCATTTATTGGAAGTGTTACATCTGTACCAGGGACACCATAATTCGGGGGCTACAATACTAGGTTAGCTAGGACAAGTGGCGCCACCATTAAACCTGCAATAAAACTTGCCTACAGCCACTTCTTGATTTTAAGCCAGTGGACCCAAGCACAATGTTAACCATCATGCATCAGGCATAGGAGTTGACCCAAACATATAAACAAGATTACACAATTTTGAGAACGCACTAGCAGTTGTACAAAGTAGCCACTGATGTCGTTTTCTGGACCCCAACAACCTTTATTATACATTCATCAACAGGCTCGGGGGCATGTACATGCTGATGAATTTTGTTGGTTGTGTCGGCATCCTAATGTCAGACAGTTGAATAGTAGAGATACCCAATTTGCTGGGGAAACCAAGATTAACAGGCAAGAATTACCCTAACAATGTTCAAGCATTGAGACTACTTGTTGAAGAACTTTCGAGGCAAGTAATTCATCAGGTAAACACTTCGAGGAACTCATAGATGTTCTTAACATTAAATTGTCAGAAAGAAAAACTACAAATGCCAGTTTTTATCATGGTGCAACCTGTTAGGGCTGAAAGGGAAGGCAACTGGCTGCTCCATTTGGCTGCTGTTGACCCATCTATGCTTCCCTATTTCTTTGCTGCATGACAATATAACTAGTAAGGACTGTTCTGTCTACGAGACATGGAGAGATTTGTTGTTGAGTTTCTCCAAGGACAGCATGTCACCCGTCATCCCATTTGGTAATGGAATGGAATCTGGTTAGATATGATGATAGAGACCACTTATTAATAGTACCAACAAAATGTTGTGCAAAGCAAGAACCCATATTCTTACCTTTGAAAATGGATTACTGTACTCCGGGTATTGTTCGCGTGCGATTTAATTTCGCTTTGTTCGCGAATGTAGTAAAACCGCGAACATTTATCGTTGTGAAATTTGTCTTTTAAATCCCTGGGGATTTGAAACGGGACTTTTGATATGTTACGTTCAGTGTAAAACGTTTCGTCTAGTGTTGTTTGGTGATAATTCAAAAAAGGCCTAAAATGTCTAACATTTTGAATTGGCTTATTAGGCCAACAAAGGCAAGAACTGTTGACAACAATGATATCCTACAAATTAAAGTTGAAAAAGCCATTCAAGAATATTCAAATAAATGCCCTAAATGTGGGAAATACAAACATTATTCGGATTCTGAACGGGCTAAAATAGCCAGATACCACGCACTGATTCACGGTAATCGGAAAAAATTCAACTTGTGCAGTTTGCGAAATGTCATCAACTCAAATCCCCAAAATTAAATAGCCGCGAAATTGCAATTTTGAAAAATTGCGAAATTTTATAGCGTTGAAATTTACCCGGAGTACAGTATAGCAAAACTATCCCACATGAATCTACTTGTTTAGACTTGATCAACTGTTCTTCTGAGAAAATGAGAATTTTAGCAAGGGTGCATTGACTGAACATGGGGAAAACGCCACCTCTATGTTTGATGAATCTGGTAACCTGAAAACACCAATGAACAAGTATGTTATGAACAGCAAAACTTGAAGTAAAAATATCAATGTAGTATGTGACGACACTAGTGTCTTAATCCTATTGCTTCACTACTATGAAAAACACCATCTAATTGCTTATATTACTATGGACTCTGTCAACTTCCAACAAGAATGTCACCTCAGAACTTCTTGCTGCCCACAGCCTGACAGACTGTGACACAACATCTAGTCTTTACCGCATAGGCAAGGCAAAAGCAGTTAACACCAGACTCGAAATGCTCATTTAAGCTGGATTGAAGAAAACAACATACCAATACCAACAGATCAATGCCAA